GCAGTCCTAAGATACGAGGTCACCTCCCACCCTACCACTCATCAATACTCCCAGCGTACCCCCTAACCCAACTATCTTACCTCAGTGTAACCCACGCAGGACCATCACTCAACCGCTAGGTGGGTATGGATCGAACCTAAGGCCATACTCACACTAAGCCTTTTGGTGCTAAGCTCTGGACGTGATTGCGGTCAGATTCATCCGGTTCTTGCCCTAATGAGCCTCAGATTCATTCAGAAAAGTCCTACCGTAGTGTGAGAGTATGCCCTAAGTGGGAGCAAGAAGATACGTTCTGTTGAAGGAATATGTTCTCAGATCTTACTCCCACTACCCGTAGCACTTTCTTAAAAATGTATCTGACCGCATTTACACCGTCGCCTAGATGCATCTGCCTGCAATTCTGGTCCAAAAAATACGTAACAAAGTCCTCGTGTGAGTAGGCCCTCTCACAAGTGTAAATACGGTTCCAGCGCTTGTGGTTTTGTTCAATAAAAAAAAAATAAAAAAAATAAAAAAGGATGAACTCCGTGGCCGTTCTTGGACATGAATCTTCTGGTTCGTTGGCGCCTACGTATTCAATGCTCCCACGCCAGGGCATCGTCACATTCGTCACACTGTTAGTCAAAATTTTGACGCCTCCTTCCGTCACACAGTTTTGCGACTGCATCTACTCTTGTGTATATCGGTCACACCGTCGGTTTGCGACTGCTTCTGTGAATTCATGTACTCTTATCTTTCGTTAAGGTAACCATAGCTGTAACCATACTTGCTTCCAATCGCCTTCTACTCGCTGCGGCTGCCATTCTTGCAGGAGAAGGGTTCTGATTCGGTGGCATCTTAACTTGGTCGATCTCCGATTCGACAGGGTGATGGCAGAAACGATCCCTCCTCTCAGTATGCTGTCGGGGAAAGAGAGGCAGAGATGATCACTGTCTGTGTAAGAAGAAGAAACAAGAGTGGCGACGGCTGGCCAGGTCTTAGAAGTGGCTTGCGACTGTGTCCTGACAGTAAGGGTATTTGGTGCAGAGAGTCGGCCAGGTGCAGACGAACACGGGGCTGGGCAGAGCTGCAGCCTGCAGCGGGGCGGCAAAGGCGGGACCACATACGAGACTACCTCTCCTGGAAGATGACGGTGGCAGCCTATGTGAAACGACGATCAACAATCACCTGACCTCCTCTCGTCGTTTTAGCAGGCAATCAATCGTATTGACAGTGTTTCTCTCTCTCTCTCTCTCTCTCTCTCTCTCTCTCTCTCTCTCTCTCTCTCTCTCTCTCTCTCTCTCTCTCTTTCTCCAATAGGTGGGTGGAATGTTCATACAACTCGATTTCCCTGGAATGAATTCAGCGTGTTTATACGACTTGATCTCTCTGCGATGAAGTCAGCCGTCAGTGGTTGGCAGTCAGCAGTTTGTGCAGGTAATGTGGTGATGTTTGTAGGTAAATGGAAGGCGGTGTGAGTGAATGTGCGTGATCTTTGTGAGTCGGGGGATGCGCGAAGCTGAAAGGATCTTGGGAGAAGAGGATATGAGCAATTGAACACAGTCTAATACAATGAGGGGAGGAGAAAGGAGGGGCAGGAAGAAAGGAGGCGGAACGTATATCCTGATACTGAGTTCAGTGAGAACGGACTGTGGTGGAGGGAGAAAAGGATGAACAAGTGAAGCAGCAGTTCCTCTAAGTACTCTACGTCGGGCACTCAGCTTGTGTCTCACGGCGCTCGCTTTCATTCGGACCCACGTTGCCTGAATGAAGGCGATTATTGCTTTTGGTATTCAGTTTGCCTGAAGGTCGGCTTGCTCGGGGTCGCTGTCTCTTGGCGGGGGGGGGGGGGGGGGTTTCGGGGGGGGGGTTTTTTTTGGGGGGGGGGGGGGGGGAGGTTTCCTGCTGCAGACTCATTGAGTAGAACATCGTGTCTGTACTTTCCGTGTGGGGATTAATGAGCGCTTGCTCCGGATTTCAGTAGCCGACTCGGAGAACGATTTCATTCATTTTCATTCATTCAAGAATGGGAATGATGGCAATTGATGAAGCGAGGGCCGGACGCATTCGTGCATATTCGCGCTGATGGGGTAAAGTGCGCTGCGCTGGCACTGAAGGAGCTACAGGGTGCGTGTCAAGAGCGTTTATCGATCGTGTTGCCAGGAGAAGACGATGCCGCACTGTAAATAGCGCGCAATTCAGTGGTGTGCGTGTGTATGGCATCAACGATAAGAAAAGCCGTCGGACGATTGTTACGGGCATAGTATTAAGTATTCACGCCCTGTGTGTGTGTTTCTCTCTCTCTCTGTGTGTGTGTGTGTGTGTGTGTGTGTGAGAGAGAGAGAGAGAGAGAGAGAGAGAGAGAGAGAGAGAGAGAGAGAGAGAGAGA